CAATACGTCGCGTCTGTCTGACTCGCCAGAAAATTCCCTTATCGCCGTTTTTTTTTGCCATACAACTCGTCCAACCCCCCTTTTCGCTTGTTTTTTGAAGCTTTCTATTTCTTTTTATTTTTCGTTTTTCGTGTTTTCTGCTGTACCATTGCACTATTGTAGGCCGTATCTAACATTTTTCGTAAAAAACCGGATACCCCAAAATTATCGTGAACTGTGCCTTTAAGCCGAAAAACCTTTATAATTAATGAGCATATATGAAGAGTTTCGGAAATGATAGAATCTCTTAAAAGTCAAGTGTAGGTTTGCGGTTACCCAGCAGAGATAAAAATAAAATCGATACCACTGTTCTTCTCCAGGTCTCTGTACACCTCCATTTCCTCAATCATCCATTCATATTGTTCACGGCAATATGCCAGTCCCTCCTGTTTCATTCGGCTGTCGCTCCAGGTAGAAACCAAGTTTCGGAATGTCAACGATCTGAATGTAAAATGACGAGTAACTGACAATCAACAGTGGAAGCATAACATAATAAAGGATACCATCATCACAGAAACTGCTTCTTTTTACAGATGCATGAAAAAAATCTTGCCTGAAACAAAAAGGAGTGGGTGACGGTAGAGGCAATCATCGGCTGTTACTCGGAAAAAATTCCTCAGCAATCGACGGAACTAGTGCCGTCATAGGAAAATGTGGGGACGAGGGTATTTTAGGGTATTTCTTGTTTCTGTTGTCAACTCAAAGGTTAGGCAAATCCCCACTGATGACAGAATCGATGTCCAAATTCCTGTGGATGTGCACACGGAAGCGACAATCTTCGATGGCGGTCACACCGCATCACCCTTCAATGGCCTCAATCACCCACTGAAATTGCGATGCAACCACTAGGATCTGATCGATATATTGCGCTCTTCAATCATCCATCGAATTTCGGTGGCACGCAGCGCTTGCAGTGGCCGCTGCACGCCGCTAGAGCATAAATTCCACACTAACGGTACCGACATCCTCAAGAGTGAAGAGGCTCTTGGACAGCGTTCAACATAGAGGTGAAACAGCATTGATTCCTTTGCGTTTTATCAATTGATCAAAGGCACAGTTCATGATAATTTTGGGTAATCCAGATTGTGACGAAAAATGGAAGATAAGGTGGGAAATAGTGCGATGAAGGTGAAGAAAGCGCACAAATCGGTGTTTCCAGAGTGAAAAACCCGTCAAAAAGGGAAAAAGAAAACCAGAAAAATGAGAAAGAATGGGCGTTTGGACGAGCTGAACAATGTGTGTCATTGCGTACGTGTGGGTCCCAGTGCGAATAGCTGACTACAATAAGCAAAGTGCTTTTTAAAATTCATTTACTCATGAACATAAGTTAACAAAAACTCGAGCAGCGGCAAAAGTAGCCCACCTTTTTCAGCCTCTTGCACTAGGAAAGAAAGAAAGGATCGCAGCAGCAAAAAGAATAACAGAGAATAAAAGAGTAGGAAGAAACTATCGCCCCACTACTCGGCGGTCAGCTGATTGTGTGAGTCTTAGAACGTATAGCAATCAGTATCGCCTCAACACTCGTCTGACGTGACATCGATCGAGGGGCGGGGCATCCGTGCGATTCGGTAACGGGGCTCCCACTATACCCCAGCTGTTGAATTCTCGGACCCAACAACATTCTTCTGTTACCCTTGGGGGCCACTGGGTATCCATAGAGGGAGAACTAAGAAACCATTTTTATCGTGAACTGTGCCCTTGAAAAAGAAAAAAGGCTAAAAGGACAATTTCACCGAGTCAGTTTTCAACTGCCAAAGTATCACCGAACCTGTTTCGCAAATGCATAGCCCAATAATATGGTGTACACGGCTCTTCAGTCCATACCGGAAGAGAAGTCATCGTTTGAACTAGCTGTCGAATCAGGCGAAAATTGCCCGTAGACAAGGTGAAAAGGGATGGTGGGAATTCCTAAACAAAGTTAGTCAAATCTGCTCAGGAAACGTTCTTTTCGATGCTGGATACTGCACACATCACAACAGACAACCCACCGTTAATGGATTTCCATCCAGTTTTAAAAGCGTCAAGCCTGACAGCAAAACAATCACCTCTGGAGGAAGAGACGATCGGTGATGAAGAATGTTGTTTGCAACGTTCAGACTAGAAAATATGAGATGCAGGCGTTACGTGGCTATAGTACACGAACTTTCTGAGCTAGGTTTCTCTTCATGCATGAAACGCCACCTTTAATTCAAACTGAACACATTCAAACATACCATGTATCCTTCACCATTCGGCTGTGACCCCATACGTTGCGGGAGGGCATCATGGCCGATTGGTGCAGGTTTACGACATGATCAGCTTCTGTGAAGGTGCGGCGCCCTTGTTCGCTTTTTGGAATTTTCTTTCACTTTTTAGCCTACTTCTATTCACATAAGGTGTGGCTAGTTTCTATATTTCAGCTCAGGTCCTCTTACCCATTTTATATTTCTCCCAAACTAGATCACCAACCAACATAGCCTGGGGCTCCTGTTTTCCATTATAGCGAGCCATTCATGAACCACAAATATATGCAGAAATGAACACTCACTGGGACAGTCCACAGTTTTGGGTGACAGCCAACGGAATCGCACTGATATTGGTAGCTTCCAAATCGAGTGTTTTCAGTGACTTCAGTGGAAGAAAAGCAAATGGCGCAATCGACTGAAGAGGAGAATACGACAGCGTTAATGACTTCAACGCTCCCAATCCCACGAAATTCTTCGGCGATAACTCCTGCAAACAGTGAGACGCCGTTATAAGAACACTCATACAAAAAACGCCTAAAATGAGTGAAAAAAGGGTCACTGGTACTTCTCAACAGCAATAATGATATCGGGACTACGAAAATTTGTGTTACCTAACAAATAAAAGTTGTATATCACTGTCTGAAAGTCTTACATTCACTTAAGGAGGCGTGTAAAAAAGAAAAAATGGAAAAAGAAAAAAAAAGGAAGAAGGACTCGCTTGTCTGTTTTTGAAAAAGCGGAGCTCACAAGAGCGATTGGTATAATTTTTATAACGGTTGCTCGAACTTGAAGGAACAACGAGCTTAACCAATGAATGCAAATTTAGGCTTTTGCATGAGGATGCCTGAGTTCGTCATTTGTAAGCCCGTCTAAATTCATCTTAGGTTGTTTATCTGAAGTTTTGTTCATTTGTGAAAAAAAAANNNAAAAAAAAATCGAACTGCACACTGCTTTCCTATCTTCTATGCATGCTGACAGAACTTTTGGTTGCAAATTTTTTAAATTCATTTGTTGTGCTCAAAAACAGATTTCTCAACCAATGAATCACGAATTCTACTTGTTCCAAAATAGAGCTTTTCTTAGAACGCTTCTCTTTCTTGCTGTTCTTGCAATCCTCTTGTTTGACTTTTATGATACTTTTTTGACATAATGATAAACGATATATGAAGAGCTTTCGCACTTGGTTGATGGTGCCTCAGTCCTTTTCGTCAGTGCTAAATGACCCCTTTGTAACGGGATTGCTCTATCACCGTGATAACCACTGCGATTGGAATATACATCTGTTGTCATGTGCATGCAGTGACCAGTGTGACTTTAAGAGAAAGGGCAGTGTCTTTTCCAAAGACTTTTGGCTCTAGCTCTTTCTATCGTTCTGTTCGTAAGCAGATTTACTCTGCAGTTCAGTAGTTCCCTAATCCATTAGGGTGGAAGTAATTGCGATTAGGATAGTGTATGCGTCATCGTTCCTCATCGCTGAAAAAAAGCTTGGCTCCACTTTGACCGTGTGCCTGCCCGTGCCTCAGCCCTGGCATCGTCACCTCGAGTCCATATTCACACGTCTCAGCCATACGCGTTGGAGCTCACGTGCTGTAGCTTCCACTTCGGCAAGTTGTTCATCGAGGATTTCATCCAAGCATATCGGCCTCTTAAGTTAAAACTAGAAAGAGGATTTCAGTTTGTTGAGTAATTAACGAGAAGTTTGTTTACTTCTCGGGAGAAGGACATACTATGTACTTCACTATTTTCACCTGTGCATGGGATTACCTCTTCCAAATGGTAATTTGATGAGTTTCTGTTACTAGAATGTTCTCATGCAGTGCGAGGTTCTCAAATCGAACAAATCCTTAATTCACCACTTAATGTTCTGACGCAATCGTAGTCTTCAGAGGCCAAGGTTTCACCGCCCAAGTGGATAAAAACTGCTGTTAACGACAGGCGACTGTATGGGCGAAGTTGGAGAACATTTAAAAAATTAATTTTTCCAAAAAAATCTTTTTTCTTCAAAAAGTGTTTTTTAGCATTCTTTCTGCTGTACACTTTATTTCTAGTACTTCTTTACTTTCTATCCAATGAATGAGATTTTTGATATAGTAACCATTGGGCTTTCTTAGTTATCAGATGTCGATCAAGGTGCTAAGCGTCTCCAATAGTTGGTGTTTCATTGTAAATTAAGAGGCTGGATACGATGTTCATCCATACACCAACACATGTATGTATGACGGTTAAGATTCGCGCGAACCTCACTATCATCGACCAAAATAGCTGAAGGGGCCAAATAAAAAGGTGAGAAAATTGCAGCTTCATATATGCTTGATGGAAATGTTACAAATCTCTGTGGGTCTGAAAAACCTGCTGTTTACAATTGTTTATAAGATGAAAACCTTAGGGAACATTGTGTTCATTTTCGGGTACCCGTGTGTTAACTCATAAACTCTCATGTGATGTTGTATTTTCGGTTGTCTTGACCTATGTATGTTTTGTTTTTGTTGGTATTGTCAGCAGTCAGTGTGCCCCACATGACACCCTGACACAAACATCCGAAGGATAATCGAGCTGGCCCGTGCTCTGGAGAGAAATTTGGCGGGATTTTCTTAACAGATCTGTAATGTGAACCGACTGCAAAACGACAACATTTTGCAATATGTTTGTCAGCAAGGTGTTAGGTCTGGTTTCGTTTTGCGAACACAAGCACGGCGGATAACTCGAAAATGTTTGCAGTGTGACAGATAGAGGCCACATCGACTGCCTTAGAAGAACATGAACCGCGTGAGGCCAAGAGTTACCGCACATGGCTTTTCCCGTTCCAAGTTTTCACCTCATTACCAAATAAAGTCGAGCGGTGTCATCGTGAGCACACCGCATAGGCGCTCTGGAAAAATGCCACTTATTGTATAACCTCATCAAATAGGAAAGAAGATCTATCGTGGACATTGACCAACTTCTTAGCCCCTCAATCAATATATATTTAACTCATAGGATTATTGAAAACGATTTGAATGATGTAGTCAAAAAATAATTGATGTGTTCAAAACGTCTAATGGACGGCAGTAGCAATGACTAACCTTGATGCTAGTCCCACTTAACTTCAGCCATTTAAGTTTGGAGTTGTGGGCGAAGGGCCGAACTGGTAGAATCTGGATGGGATTATGGCTGAGATCAAGGATGCGGAGTTCGGCGCAAGCGGAGAACGTATGAGAGCCAAACGAAGTTATCTGCAAAAAAAGTAGAACATGAGAAACAATGAAGATAGGCAAAGCAACTTCTTTACAAATTCAATTTTTGAACCAAGAAACTAATGAGGACTTTCCTTAAGGGAACTAATCGCGTAAGATCGTAGAGTCATACTAACAACAATAAGTACCCCAAAGCTATAGGTCACTTGTGATTATGCTCAAGGATGCATTACCGATCGTGACCAGAAATCAGCCATGTAACAATATGTGTCAAGAAAAACAAGAGTTCCCCCTATAATCAAAACTGAGAATTGTTTGCCAAACCTTGTTCCTGCTAAGATCAATGTCGTATATATCTTTGCTAAGCAATAGGTGCTTATCAATGTCGTCGATCTCGTTACCAGACAGTTTTGCCGATCGCAAGCCTCGCAGTTGCGATATAGTGGAAATGGAGTGAAGCAGGGTATATGAAAAACGAAAACTTATAAATCATCTCTACCTGTGTTCTGACCACATGAAACGTCCAAAGACTACTACAAATACATTGAATGTGCGATTGCGCTGCGGATAAACCAGACCAAGCAAAATAAGTTATCTCGAGTAACATAATTGGCGAAGTGTTACAGTCAAAGGCACAGTTCACGATAGTTGGGGGTATGTGGATTTAAAATGTCATAGTCCAGAATAGTTCCAAAGTTGCGATAAACTGCGAACATCGGGGTATTCAGAGGAATGTAATTCCTCAAGAAGGCAGTAGAATCAGTGGCTTGACGAGAACGTGAAGAAAAAACTGGTATTGAAAGATTCGGGACGAGTTGCCCTAATGTATGGGCCATTGCGTAGCTGGCTACAGTAAGCTGGGAGTGTTGCGATTCACGCGTCAATATAATGAGGTCATCGGACGAGACACGCTATAACTTCATGGCTGCCCTCATAATGGGAGGATAAAGAACTTATAAAATAAAGGGAACAAATGTGCACGTTTACAGAAGGATTGCGTTTTCTAGGGTAAAAAAATTTGAAGTTATTCTTATTTTGGACGTTTGACAAGTAAATTGTTGACCTATGAAGTGAATTCTAAGTTTCGAAGGGGCTTCATTGCTATAGTAAAGAGATTTGCTCTAATTCATGGTGAAGCCGTGGACCACTGACATCTTATATCTTATTTGGTCCATCTCAACAGAAAGGCACTGAAGCAATACTGCGTGCGCGAAGAGCTCTAATGGAGTCACGCGTGAATCGCCCCCCCCCNCACCTCCAGTAAGCTGCCTGTGTGCAACGTGTGCACTCTGGTGCTGCGAAGTGTGCAACCCGTACAACCTCTACAACGTCGTGAGAACTCGTCCACGTTTGGTGTGTACGTCATTTCAGCCGGAGATTATTATCCTAAGTTCTGGGACCCCTATATAAGCCGTTCTTGTCCAAACAGCGTTCTTTCGCTATCTTCGGGGCTACAGGTCCATTCCAGGGAGAATTCCAAGAATATTTCTATTGAAATTGAAGTTGTGTCTTCAATTATACACTCGTAAGAAAAGCAACAAAGTGTTCTACTCCTGAAGGAGATGCGAGAAAGCCCGACAATAATGTTGCAAATTTTCGCAAAGAAAGGTTCGTGGGTCAGTCGTCTTCGCGAGCATAGCTGATTTCTCGCGAATAATCCCATTTCCTTGAAAAGTCCACCCATCCAGTTCACCTACATACGCTCACTAGCTTACCGCACAGCGGTGGATCAACCGCTCTGCGGCTGCTTACTGGTTTGTAGCGAATTTATATCTTTCTACGGCACAATACAAGAGGCCACTTTCACGAAAATTATTGAGACCATGTCACACGAGGTCAAACATAAAAACTTACTTTTGATAGTGAGCGTGTGTAACTTGGAGCTTAACGCCAGCCAAGGGGGTAATTCGAGAAGTGATGAGTTTTCAATATGAATATGCGTTATCGTACGTACCCACGGTGACACCTGAACGAGGTCTACCTTTTTGTAATGCTGAACGTCGACTTTACCAGTCTCCATTTCTCTTCCTTCATTTATTTTTCGACTTTTCATGCAACGAAAAATCCCACCGTTCGTGAAAATTGAAGACCAACGTTGAAAATGCGTAAGCTTTCAAGCATTTTTAGGTGATGGAAGGTGTTGGCTACATCATAGGGGTGACGTGTTCTGGAACACACAATTCACTATATTGCAGCAATTATCAAGCGAGGACCTACTGTAGACTCGAGGGAAACATTGGCTGGAGTGCAAAACATAAGCTGAAAAGCAACGTTGCAGGGAAAGTAACCTCAGAAACATTTATGGGCAAATGATGCAAGTGTTATGGGTATCCTCCGATCCTATTGAATCATTTCAGTCCCGCCTCATAATTGAATGATTGTTGATTATAATAGAAACACCAAAAACAAAAAAAAAATAAAGGGAGACCAGAGTGTCAGAAGAAGGGAGAAGGACAGTTTCAGGAAAGAACAACGTTGAAAGCATATATGTATGTGAGCAGCTATTCTTCACTTCCACTCCCTAACCCATTTAGAGAAATCACAAGTGCGATACAAACAAGATCCATATATTAGAATTTCTGTGAAATATTAGGTTAATGCATAATTATTGTGGGTTTTTCTTCAACAATTAAATCCTACTATATATAACGCGCTAAGTGTGTCTGTTGGTTTGTCTGTGCGTGTGTGTTTGACCGGAAATTCATAACTCGGGTTCCCGTCGACCTAGAGAGTTCAAATTTGGTAGGAGTACAGGCGGCAGGATAGGAACACCAATGGTGGGTGGCGGGGCTGGACTACTCCCACAAGGGGCGGGGTTTGTGCGAAATAAAAGTTTGTGGGAAAGTCATAACTTCTGTTCCAGTGGAGATAAAGCGCTCAAACTTGGTAGGAGTACAGGCTGCAGCATGTGAACACTTATGGTGGGTGGAGAGGCCAGACCCCACACACAAGGGGCGGGGTTTGTGCGGAAAACATAACTCCAGTCCCTGTGGAACTAGAGCGTCCAAATCTAGTAGGAGTAAACAAGATAGGATGGGAACGCTTATAGTGGGTGGCTGGATTGAGCTCCGCCCACAATGGGCGGGGTTTGGGCAGAAATTCATGACTCCTGTCCCTGTGGACCTAGAAAGTTCAAATTTGTCATGAGCATAGGCGGCAGGATAGGAACATTTATGGTGAGTGGCAGGACCGGACTCTGCCCACAATGGGCTGGGTTTGGGCGGAAATTCATAACTTCTATCCCGTGGACCTAAAGCGCTCAAATTCGGTAGGAGTACAGGCGGCAGCATGGGAACACTAATGGTGGGTGGCAGGACCGAACTCTGCCCACAAGGGGCTGGCTGTGTGTGAAGAAGTTAAACTTGGACATAGAGCGTTCAAATTTGGTAGAAGTACAGGTGCCAGGATGGGAACACTCATGGTGGATGGCAAGATCGGACTTCGCCCACAGTGGGCGGGATTTGGGAGAAAACTCGCAACTCCTGATCCCGTCGACCTAGAGCGTTAGAATTTGGTAGGAGTATAGGCGGCAGGACGGGGACACTTATGGTGAGTGGCAGGACCGGACTCTGCCCACAATGGGCGGGGCTTGAGCGGAAAATCATAACTCCTTCAGGGAGTGGGGCTTACAGAGTTATGTCAAAATTGACCTAGAGCGACCAAACTTGGTAAGAATATAGGAGGCAGGATAGGAACACTAATAAAGGTTGCAAGACTGAACCCGGCCCCAAAGGGCTGGGCGTGAATAAATGCTGTTAGTTCGGACCCAGACCATTGAAACTTGAAGGCACAAGGAGTTGGCGGGGAACATTGATGTAGCTAACGTAGTAGACTCAGCCGCGATGAAGTCTCTGAATACTTTTTTTATGAGTAATAGCCTTTGTGATATTATGCGATGTTCTATTCGGACACAGCGACGATGGCTTACAGGAAATTCGCTCCTAATCGGAGCTAGTACTGAGGATGTAGAGCTTACAAAGAAAAAGGAGAGTCCGAAGTGTTACTTACGCATAGTCAATTTCTCACAGAAAGGAGCGCCCGGCGTTAAACGATAAAAGTATTCAACAAAGACATGTTCAAATATTTACTCGGGAGCCAATCTTTCAACGAACGGTTGACATGGTAGTTTCTACGAGTTTCAGTCGGTGAATAAGGCGGATTTAGAAGCTTTACTTGACTTTGGCTGATTGTTGCATGGCCAAAAAATTCGATGGATCGCGAAATGACCCTGTCGAAGTAGTAGAGCGAATGAGGTCTAAATGAAGATGATCTTCAAATTGCTGTTCTATTAAGGGTAGCGAGAAGTTTATTTCCACGAGAATCTCAAATTCAATACTCAAATTATGCCGATGGAAAACTCACGAGAAAAAGTCCGCAATAATTATGCATAAACCTAACAAATACAATACCATTGGCTATGTTTATTGTAATTGTTTGTTTATCCACAAATGTAGTGTTGCGCTGGTTACTGTACACGTGATAAAAAACTTGGAATCAGATTGGATTTTAAGAAGAGGAGGGAGGTGCGCCAATAAGTTAGAATCAGAGTGAGGAAACAAAACGATGGGATTGAAACGAATTGGAGATAGATAGAGACGCATATTTGATACCGTTCCAATTAATTTACTTATTTTATACTTTCAATAGCATATACCATCGGTACATGAGCATTGCTGAATCTTCTGGTTACCACAAACGGATATCTCTAACTGTTCGTTTTCCAGAATCCGCTCAGAGCAGACATTGACAGTAGCGAGCTTGTAGTTCCATGATTGCTCCAGTGACTATCAACTTTTTGTCTTCTATTGACCCGAATGTAAGTCGGATCCATGAATCATCACAACGCCATCACTCATCGGGAAGTTTGCAAACCTGGCACTTATTTCCAATGATCTCAAATGAGGAGCATATTTTGCAAGTTCCATCGAAGGTGTAGTCTCGTCGATGTCGTATATTCGCAGCGCGGTGACATTCACCTCAGCAAGTCCCCGGATGAGATTCGGTGTTAACCTAAAAATTGCATGCATTATCCGAAGCATTACGCCTGGCTCCACGGGAGGAGAGGCCAGGAAACTGCTTATCAAATCTAGCTCTTAACATCCGCTACATTATTTATGTGCATGAAGGATCTTATCTAGGTTCAGAGACACTCTCGGATGAAAAACGAAAACGTATTCGCGACTGCTAGAAAGCATCGAGCAGCTCTTGGATGGTCAAACCTCGCGCGTGGCCATTATCACTTGAAAAGGTCCGAATCAAAATGTAAATCGAAACGCATTGGCACATCACTTCTCGTGAAATAGAAGGAAGACTTAGTTTTCGAACTCAGCTGTCTATAACAGTTTGTTGAAAAGTGGTTTTCCTAAGCGCTTTGATGTTTGGGTACCTCAGAAAGTAAGCGAGCGCAATCTGACGAATCGCATCTCCGTTTGCGACTCATTGCTCAAATAAAACGAGCCGTTCCTGAAGCGCATGGTGACTGCGGACGAGAAGTGGATCGTGAACAACATCGTGGTGCGGAAACGATCATGGAGCATTTCCAGAGAGCAAACCACTCCAAAAGCCAAAATCCATGTGTGGAAAATTATGCTGTGCCGCTCGTGGGATTGGAAGGGATTCATTTGTTATGAGCTGTTGTCGCATAATCAACTGATAACTTTGGAAGACAAATGTTGGCCAGAAGCACTCAGGTGAGGGTGTTGTCTTCAACCAGGAGCTTCAGGATAACGCCAGACCACACGTATCTTTGGCCACTTGCCAAAAATTACTGGAGCTTGAGTGGGATGTCTCACCACATCCACCATGTACACCCGGACTTAGCACCACCAGACTACCACTTGTTTACATCTCTGCAGAGTTCCTTGAATGGCAAATCTGCATTGGAGGACTGCAAAATGCGGACGGATTTTTAAATTCTAAGTCTAGTACCTCCTAGACAAGTGGGATATTGTAACTACCAGGAAGATGTGATTTTCCATGTGATTTCAGGGGAAGACTCCGTTATAGACAATATCGATAAGGAATACAATCCCCTAGTCGAATATTTTCATGATAATGCTAGGTGAACCTAATCTACAAGTTGTCAAGAGACGCCTCTATTCCATGACTCTAGACTGTAACGTTGAATGGCACGAGCTGCTGCAATCGGCACTCAACGTCCGAGCGTACGAAGCTGTAAAGGAAAGCAATGAAAGAAAATTCCGAAGTGAGAAGTCCTGGCGGAACCCGCACAGACAGGGAAGGGTATACGTAGAGCTCAATGGGATCTCGCCTATCACAGACCGAAATACTTTCTTCGCCGTCCTAACGGAACAGCCTTTGCGCATAGAAAGGCAATGGTAAAGGTCATCTACGACGTCAACTCTAATCTTTTCAGCAGCCACTTCTTCTTACACATCATTAAAGGCAGCATGAACTGCTTTAAAATGGTGGATAGGTAGGTAGGCAGCGTTCTCCAGTCATCCCATTTAAACATCAAGGTGTCATGACATCGGTTACGAATTATGTGGCTACCGGTCCCGATATTTATTTATTTATTTATGCCCTCGTAAGTGCACTTATTTCAGAATATGATTACACTAGGTATCTGTCGCATCGAGATGCAAGGCGCCCAAGTTCGCAGAAATGTAGCAGGACTGTGTTGCTGTATAAAAAAGAGCTAGACGATGATGGCAACAATGTGGGTCAATTTGCCTTTCTGTCATTTACAATTTCTTCACAGGTCACATGCTGCCATTATGTCCTAGGTTCATCGATTTGAAGAAGGCCTCTGATACCTATGGGACAAGCGCGGAAACTTAAGACTTGAGCGACCAAGATATTGCTTTTCAATCTACAAGGGTGTCTTTTGAGTTCTACAACAACTTCACGGCCAGAATCTTGCCATTCTGCGAAGAATCCACTGTGAACGTAGAGAGGAAGGTTCGGCAGGGCAAACCAACCTCGCCCAAACTTTTCAGTGCAGCTTTTTAGCACAGTGCGGGTTTTTTGAAATGGAAAGACATGCCGATGAAGATCACATCACCCCACATGAGAACGCTTTAAGGCTGAGCTTGATGAATGCATGTTCATGAGAAACCGATTGCTCCCGGATGGTCGCCTAACGCTGAACGTGAAGTACATCTACGGATATTCTAGCTACGTGCGTCCAGGTCAAAAAGTTACTATGATAAACAATCCAGGTCTTTCATCATGATGACTTCTCGACAGCTCCGAGCTGAGCAGGAGGAAGCGCGCAGCGTGGGGTGCATCAAAAATTATTGAAGGAGTAGTGAAGAACCATCGGCTCCGCTGGCACTGCAGTCCTTCTCGCCTTGACATACATATCAGAAATTTGAACTCTACGAAAAGAGGATGAGCATGCAATCAGCGTCATCTAAAGCGCTATGGAAAGAAAAGGAACTCCTCCTCACACTCAAGTGCAAAGGAATCCGGAGCTCCAAGCTCCGTTGACGAACGAAATATAGGGGCGTTGAGGCTTTGAAGATCGTGAAAACGTGATGCGATATATGTAGTAATGACCCTCGACCATGAAAATTATCGACTGGATCCCTAGAGGCGTCGAGAAACGAACACTAAAATGGCCGCTAGCGCGATTGTCAGACGTCTTCACAGTTTTGAATGGGAGGAATGTTATGCCTCGTGTTCTTCGAGCAGAGACGATCACCACCCTACTTCGGCTCACGAATGAAGACGATAGTGGCACCCCTTGAGCAAATAGACGATCAACCGGATTACAGGTGACGCGCTCATAATGCGGATCTCAATCAATTTACATATGTGAGTGTACATTGTTGCAATCCAAAACTTCCCGGAATTATCAGGAAGACTCACTTGCACTAACACTGGTTCCAATATGTAAAAAATAAATTTTGATCGAATATCCGACACTCTCTAGAATCTAATAAACTTGCATGGGTCAGCAACGAAGACATGGGTTACAGTAGTGGTGAGGACGAACTCCCATCCCTCATCAAATTAAAGGTAGTAGTGCTTTGGAAACCATGCCTGCCTAAAGGCCACAGGCGTGAATTGCCGCGAAAAAGGGAAATCGCAGAAATTCCAATCCTAAGCTCCAGGAAGCAAGCACAAAAAATATGCAAGG